GTGAACCCTTCGCAGCGCGCTGCCATCGAGGGCCTGCAATTCGCCCTGGAGAAGATCCAGGCGAAGCAACCCCCAGACCCCCAGCGCTCGTTGGTTTTTTTTGTTTGTATTTTTTCTCCTTGAAAGTAGACCAACAAAACAAGACTGCCCTTTTTCCCCCGCAATCATTTTTCCTTCTCATATTTGTTGAGGGGGTTCTCACTCAAACGGGCGCCAAGAAAAAAGGAGGGCTCCTTTTTCAACAAAGGCCACGGGATCAGGTGCCGATGGTTCGGTGATGAAGCAATGGGTTGGCATAACCTTGATGACAGGGTTTCTTTGGAAACCCGTTGAAACCACATTGGTTGGCGTTTAAGCCAACCAACAAGTGTGCCTTCCAAACAAACAAACACACAAACAAACAAACAAACAAACAAACAAACAAACAAACAAACAAACAAACAAACAAACAAACAAACAAACAAACAACCAAGCAAGCAAGCAAGCAAGCAAGCAAGCAAGCAAGCAAGCAAGCAAGCAAGCAAGCAAGCAAGCAAGCAAGCAAGCAAACAAACAAACAAACAAACAAACACACAAACACACAAACACACAAACAAACAATCACACAATAACACAAGCGCGCACACACACACACACACGCTTTGGGGTTTGTTAACGTCATCTTTTGAATTGTTCGACAATGTCTCCCCTTCGAGTTTCCTTTTGGTCTGATGTTTAAAAGGCAATATCTTCACCAAGGGAAGGCATGCGCTGGAGGGCTTTCCCAAAGTCAAACTGCCCTTTCCCATGGCAAGTATTCGTTTCTTCGGCCGAGATTGTAATGCCTGAAGGGTCATGCATCGATCCGGGTTGTCATGTGGATGTGTCGCAACACGGGTGACTTCTTTCGGATGATGTTTTGCAGGAAAGCCAACCAACAAGAGGCATAGGATACCCTATATATGTGGGAACACGTGTTCCAAATTGAGGCTGAATGAATCGAGCGACCGGATTCGCTGTTCACAAGCATTCCACCAGTCAACCAGCGTGAATGCTCGCAAAACACATCAGCTGGTCCTATGTTTGGGAGCAGTTGTCATGATAGAAAAGAGGTCCCATGTTTCAGTACAATCCGTGCATCAGATCGCGAAATATCAACTGGTCCCGCGTGAATGACCATTAAATCGCGCAATATGAACTGGTCCCATGTTTTGCAGTATAATTCACGAGATTGCAAAACATCAGCTGGTACTGTGTTTTTGAGTTCAATCCGTGAATGAGCATCAGATCGCGAAACATGAACTGGTCCCGTGCCCGAGGGTCCGCCGGGCACGGGGAAATCCACCACCATCTTCCACATCCTGGCGCGGGGTGGTTGGGCAGTGTAGCCGCGGGGGTGCTGTGGGCTTCGAGTCTTTGCGTCATGGGGCAAGCAGAGGCTGACGGGCGGAAAACCGGTTGGTGCGTGACTATCCGTTTGGCATAGAGTCACCGATTTGAATGTATTGTCAAAGATTGTGTGCCCAACTTGGCGGCTTCAAAGGTCCCCAAGCCCCGACACAGATTCAACACGTTTTGCTATAACAATTTCCCAGGGTTCCCCCACTAAAAGTCCAAGCGCAGGCCTTTGATTGTGGCCTTTGCCTCACTTGGTGTATCGATACGATTCCGGGCCACGTCCTGCATGTTGCCGACTTGGAGATTCGTTATGTTGGTTGAAAAAGACCCCAGCAACAGACCAAAGGTCGGTGGTAGCTTTTTAATCTGTATATGGTTGATTTGTGCTGGACATGGATTGACTGCTCAGAGGCTGCCCGCAAGCTCGCTCATGTTGCTTTGGCTAGCTGTCAAGGCTGCAGCTTCGCTGTTCTTGGCATGTGTTTTGGTTTGTTAGTTGTTTGGTTCTGTTCATTTTTACTGGGGGTCTGCAAAAAGCAAAGTTTTTTGCTACCATACCAAGAGTAGAGATGGCAGTGAAGCGTTGATTTCAAGTACCTCTGTCAAGTTTGGACTCTTTGGATTCCGCGGATGCTTTAGGTTTTTCCACCGGACTGGCTCTTTTTTGAAGAGGACGCCCGGCTGCCTGCTGGCCCGTCACTCAGCATGGACCTATCTGAGAGTTTTCCAAGGCATGGTATTGGAGAATCATGGAAGTGGACAGAGGGGTTCCCCAAAAGGAAGGTAAAAAGTTTCCAGAACCCTCCTGTCAGCTTCCATGATTTGTTGCAGGGAGGTTTGCCATTTCCTGCACTAGTGGGATCCCTTTTGAAGCGATAAGCTAGTGGGAATCAACAAGCGTACCATGTATCACAGAAAGGCTCACTTCCACAACCATGTTGGGAGGCATTTCTGTCCCGGTGACCACGGGTTACTGTCGAAGCTGCGTGTGTCATTTACCAGGACCATCTCAGGTAAGAAGTAGTCAGTGACCACCTGGCATTGGAGATGTGTTCTGCCAATGCGCAGACCGCAGAGAGCCATACACAAAGAGTTGAAAGAGTCGCGAAGCTGAGGCCAACGCGTACTTGCCCGGCGCCCTTTGGCGTGTTGTGGGGCCAGATCTGGAGGAGCAAGCATGGCTGTCCATTGAGGCCAGTTTGGAAGCAGGTGGCCGCGGTTTCAGTTTATATAAAGGTCTTCAAGTGCCTGTTTTCCGAAGGGACACTTAGACACAAGCTACGAAACAGCCCACCACTGCCAAAGCTCCACATGGAATTCAAACGAAAGCATCCCTGCAAAGGAGCTGTGTGTGCAAATCGTGTTAGCTCACTTCGCGTTTCTTCGGTTTTTCAATTGTGCAGCCCCCCTCTTCAAAGCAGTATGCACAGGATTGGGTGCCACAACAGCTGCTAGCCCGGTCATGTTGGTTGCCCCTGCAACATAGCAGCAATGTACGTGGTGCTTCAATCATGGTTACATCCTCAGCACTGGCTTTGGGCAAGCTATGTCGCATGTTCATGACGTGTTTCCAGCGCTTTCTTCTGGGGGAGATCCCAGAATCCATGTTCTAAAACAAGACATAGCTAAGTCACACAAGGGCTTTATGGTATTTCATCCAACAACCAAGTTGCTGAAGAGTGATGCCGCTTTGTGAGCCGTTCCCGTGGTTGCTTCTCCTAAACTGCATACTGTATGTTGTGTTCACCGCCGACCGGGGCAAGAAAGGTTTCTTGGGCGCAAGACTGCTGTACTCACAGCGCAACGTAGCTTAGTCTCGGACCTGGATGGTGTTTTTTTTCATCCACATCTTCCTCTTTGGGTTCTGTCTCATCTCTTTGCACCAAAGCCTCCCCAAGGTCACCTGCTCCCGGAACGTGGCCGTGGAATCCATCGCCCAAAAGCTCGAGGGATTGGAGGATCACTGGCGTTGCTTCCGTTTTCATTACCCAGAGCTCCAGCACCCTTTCCCTTTCTTTTAAAAGGTTCAGAACAACCCTCCTGTCCACGAACATTTGGGAAATTGGTCTTCCAGGACCCGTCAGGTTCCATGGCAACGAGGGTAACCAAGAAGAGGCCGACCTTTCCCATGGCCGGAGACTTTAGACGAGGCCATGGCCATAAGAAGTGTTGACGGAAATGAGATACACATGTAGATTCTTGCTAGATCCATTTGGCACCATCATGCAGAAACCCGGGTTTCAGGTGATTCCACTGGACATCTGTAACAAACTATGGTTTCCACCATGGTTTCTTAGGTGCGAAATGGATTTCGTCCACCCACCGTAGGATCTGAAGATTGGCTGGGGGCATTCCCTCAACCAAGACCGAGACAGATTCGGTTGCTTCCTTTTGTTTCTTGGGGAGAGGACTTTGCCTCAGTCAAGTGCCACACCACGGATCCGGGAGAAATAGAACGCCTGAAATGAGAGGTCCTTTGACACGTGTGAGTTGTCACTCAAGTGAGCGATCTCTGCAAGATGGGCAACTATAAACTAGAGCAATTTGAATTAACCTAAGTCCTGGATTTATGCAGATGTCCGAGCGTGCCCACACTCAGCAAAGGAGCGTCAACACTGTGACTCTCAGCCAATACTTGGTGGCTCCCAGCCATCCTCTTAGGTTTTGAGGTGTTTGGTTGGTTTAGCGGTTGGGTTCTATTTGACCCACAAAAAGCCTCAGCAATTTAAAATGGGACCCCGCAAGTCAAGCGGTCAGCTTCCAGAGTCAAAGTGCAGCTGAACGAACACACGGGCTTGCGGATGGGTTGGGAGCTTGGGAGGACTGGCCTTTGTGCGTCTTTGGGCCTCGTGACCGCGCAGGGCGCTAAGACGAGAGAAGGTACCGCAAGAGAGGTCTTCCTGAGACCTATGTGGTAAGGGCCACAGAGACACTAGGTAGCTCCAACCCGCTGCACATTTAATGGATTCATCTAGAATTACATGAAGCCCCCTATCAAAATTTGGTCCATGGCTCGACGAAGTTTACTCTGAACAACTCGGTAAATTGTCATGTACGATCCTGCCAGCATTCAACCCCACACAGAACAGCTTTCCAGCTTCAGTCACGTTTCAAGGCATAAGTTTGATGCCCCAGGAAGCCATGGACTTTGCCTTTCGGTTTGAAGTATTTCGTCGACAGTTGCTGTGGTACTGCTTCGTGCCCGGCCGTGGTTCTCAGGTCGGCGAGACGGCTCGTAGATACTTGCTGGACTCACAGGCTACGCCGAATTGGAGGGGGGCGTTATGCTGGTCTGGCAGCAGTTGTTCACAGTGTTTGCTGCCTTTCTGATTTCACTGTCGAGATCAGACTTCAGTTACTAACCGATGCAAAAGTTTTGAGAGAGAGTGAGCCCAAGACGCGTCCCTTGCTTTGAAGCCTGCATGGGAGTCTTGCACAGAACCTTGCCCTAATGTGGAGTCTTGTGGAATTGTGGAACACGCTGCCGTTTGAGCTGCGGATGAATCCATGGAATCAACATGGCTTTAAGACTGCCACACTTATTCATGATTGCCCATTTGGCTGTGCTCTGTAAGCTGAGAGTGAACATGTTCTGAGGGGAAGAACGGAGCAATTTTGGGTGAAGGCGGGTCCAGCAGCTGTTTTTTCTCACTCTCAGATGCCCAGTGACCGCACACCTCACGCCACGGACGAAAAAAACTTTTAGCATTCCTGTGGGGTGCCGCCATTTCACCGAGCAGCAGCATCTGCCTCATCGCCATGAGATTGGCCTTTGCAGACCGTCCAAATTTGCCCATGCCGGCGATGCTTCGTTTCGCCTGGCTGGTGGCTCTGCCCGCTCCCGCGGCAGCGCTGCATGCACCTTGGGTTTGTTCTCACCGGAGTCAGACTTGGGGAGAATGCACCTTCTTAGATTCTTTTTTTTAGTTGGTGCATAACTGTTGGCCCTGCAACCAGTGACAATGCACCAACTGAGATACTTGTTCGAGGCTTCAGCCGAGCGCTCAGCCAAAGAATAGATATGAATGGGTTTCTTAGTTGACATCATTTCGTTGAGGCAAGGCTCCAGAGCCAACAGCATAGGGGCTCCCAGCTTGATAATGCTGGCTCCCAGCGGATTTCCTGGATATCCACGTACGCTTTCCGCGTTTCCTTCGCGGTCCATAAACCAAGGCCTCGTGGGTCGTGTTTTCAACATATTCGGCCCTTGGGTTGTGGAAGCACCTGATTGATCCGTCTGTGAGTTCTAATTTCGGCTCCGCTTCGAAGTAGTACCTTGGGGTTTCTGTTGACCAGGGTTTTTGGATGGCACCTTTTCTGGGGCCCGTCTCTCTGTACAGCATCCATTGGCCTCCTTTTTCGACCCAATCCTGTTCATTCAGCCCCCATGTCATGCACTCGGTGAGGGCTCATGTCACTGACCTAGGAGATTCGCATGGTGCGAGGTGAGAGCAAAAAGGAGCAAGTAGCTCCGCGGAACTTAGTTGAGTTTCTAGTGCCAAGCTTGTAAATTCTGTAAACTCGAGACTGACACCTGAAAAGCACTGATATTTCCATTCCCGTAGTGGTGTGATTGATCGCCATTGCAATCACCGCCCGATGGCTTGTTCTTGGCAAGCGGTCATGCTTGGCCGCCGCCTAAGTGTTGGTTGTAAATATAGGGGGTTATACCTCTCCGAACTGCTATTCAGTAGACTTGTTTCCCGGGCCTATGACGTCGCCTTTGTGTTCATCCTTGCCCCCCCCCCCCCCCCAGTGAAAGCAGCGCACCTATCATTCACAAAAGCAAATTACAAGACCGCCTAGGTGCCTCAAGACTCGAGACCGTTGGCCCTTTCGGCAGGTCCAGATCATGGTAACCAGCAAGCTCTCCTCGCTGCAGCGGCGCATGATTTTGCGCCAGGCCTTTGCGCACTGCAGCCAAGTGGTTCCTGGGCGCCTCGGAGTTTGGAGGGACTAAGACGAGCGACTCCTGGGCGTTTTTCTAGGGACTCCATTCGGGGTACGTAACGAAACAACCGAAACACTGAGGCCATGCAAATTCCCTAATGGTCGCGAATTTGCGACTACCGTTTGGCTGGCGTGTCCAAGAAAATCAGGAGAGCATCCATTTGAAGATTTGAAGGGGCACCCCTTCCAGGAACGCAGACAATTGGGGATGCCTCAAGTAGCGGGTGTCATGCTGTTTTGCAGTTCTATGTCCGCCACTGGGGGCCCTGGTTTTGACACGACATAGCCATGTGCTCCGTGGATTGCAGGGGGAAGTCCTCGAGACCGGACTTCAGTTCCTTAGGGCTTCCTTTGCAGGATTGCCACAAAAAAAAAACGGCAGCCTCCTTTATCTGGGTGTGTCTTTTTTGAAGGGGAACCATCAAATCGTGGTGTTCCTTCCCATTGAAAAAAAAGCAGGGGGGACTCCAAAACGAGGAGCCGCCCTCAAGGCACGACCTCGAGCAGCTCTTCTTCCTGGGCGACGAGGGGGAGGCCGACGAGGCGCTGCTGCAGACTTTGCGCGCCGAGCAGCAGAGGCGAGGGGCTCGCTCGGCCGGTCAGCCGGACGGCCAGCCGGCGTCGGGCGGGATAGCTGGGGTGCCAAACCTCTGGTGTTCCTTTTCGTTTCTTGGTGGTTCCCAATATTGGTCTCGAGGGGAGTTTCTTATGTTTTTCGAGTATGCCAACAACAAGGTGCACCTTGTTTTCCGCATGGCCAGTAGAGATTTCAGTGGTGATGAGGAGATGCGGTTTCATTTCTTGCAGGGGAAGACATGTTCCCAAAACATGGGTACAACGAGAATCGTGTGGACAGGGCCCATATGACTTTTTCTGGTGGTGGAGATTGGCCCCAGTTCCTTGCATCCTCTTTGGGAGCGGGAAGATATTGGCAAGTCAAACACAATGGATTTTAGCAGCATCTTTTGTGACGGGTGTTTTCTTGCAGGCAAATGTCCAACAGATTTGCCTAATCCACGTCAAGTGCATGGTTTGCACGACTTCCTACATGTTTCCTCCAAACATCACCCTAGAGCCAAATGTGGGTGAAAAGTCAACCGCAACGCCATTTCAGCTTTATCATGCCCTCTCCTGACCGGCATGAAGGAAATGGTGCCATTCACTTCCAGAATGATGAACTCGTCAAACAAGGGAAATCTCGTGACCTAAAATAAGGACCTCCAATTTGTCGGTTTTCTATTGGCTTCCCTTGTAGCATGCCAAAGATTGCCAAAGAGTGTTCCTTTTTCATGATGCTTATCATAAAGGGCTTGGCAAAATGCTGTCCCCCTTCCCCAGCCGTTCAGTGCCTTTGCCCCCTTTGTTTTTACTTCCTGGCAGGTCAACCCCCAGAACACAAAGGTTCCCTTGTGCTAAGACTCTGAGGACTGGTCAACCCCCAAAAAGTTCCCTGACTGCCTAGGCCAGGTGCCACAAAAGGCTCTGTTTCTTTGGGCGACTGGATGCGACATGTTCACAGGTTCCGAGACCTCATCTTCGTGGGCGGCCCGGACTCCGACCCGCCGGTGAACCGCCGGGAAGCTCAGACCCAAGGGCCTGTCTCAAAAAAAAAACAGCGCTCTTTTTGGATGGTAAGAGAAACCAGGAAACATCCAGCATCCAACTTTTTGGATAGGAAAACCAAAAAGAAGCCAAACAGGGAAGAGTCGTTCAATGCTGAACGTTTGAAAGCCATAAAGGGAGCGTTATTTGTGCTAACTTTCGGGGTTGGAGCACCCCAAAAAAAGGTGGACATACATGCCCATGTTGATGTCCACAAAGGGTGCTTCAAATTGCCCTATATACGACTGTTTCTCAAAATAGTGGACCCCCTTCTGGTTGGTCTTTGAATTAAAGGCCAAAAAGCAACACACCATTTTGGGGGACCACTCTTTTGGGACACCCCAATATGTACGGATATACATATATATATAATATGTGTAATATGTATATATATATATGTACGTATTATATAGGCAGATATACCATCCATATGTATGGATTCCTATATATATATATATATATTATACACGTCAACACATGATCCAGTCGAGCCACCAGCGCCCCTTCCTCTAGGGGACGTCACCTACGTCCTGGACCGGCCCACGGCACGGGGCTTCCGCTTGGCAATGGGCACGGCATGGCTGGCCGCGCACAGGCGGAAGCTTTCTTTGGAATGCTTTTGGTCGGTTTGGTTGAAAAATAGATGGGTTCCCATGGTTTTAGGTTTTGGTTTCAAAAAGCCCTTCCGCCAAACGGGCCCCGAGTGTTTTTTGTTGCTAGGTTTGGCGGGCCGGGTCGTGGAAGGGTCCCCGCTCGCGGTCGGTTGGTCAGTCGGTCGAGAGGTCGGTCGGACGGACGGTCGGGCGGTCGTTCGGTCGGTCGGTCGGTCGGCCGGTCGTCGGTGGGTGGGTGTTTTTGTTGGTTTTCGCGGCTGTTGGCTTGCTTTTGTGACTTGTGGCGGTTTTTGTAACAATTTGGCTTTCCACATCCTCAGCTAGCATCACTGCCAGGATAATGTTGACCCCGTATTAGTCTGTAACCCCCCCCCCCCTTGAAGGTTGGAAGGTTTTGGGGGGGCAAGATTTTGGAAGGTTTTTTGCCTTGACCCCCTAAATAATCTGGAATTGAGTTTCCATTTGATTTAGTATTGCTGGGGCTTCCTTTTGAGATCTGGAATTGAGTTTCCATTTGATTTAGTATTGCTGGGGCTTCCTTTTGAGATCTGGAATTGAGTTTCCATTTGATTTAGTATTGCTGGAGCTTCCTTTGGGGGCTGGGGCCGATGGACCGCACTAATTAGGGGGGATTATGAACTGGGGGTGTTAGGGGCCAATGTGGGGTGCTCTTTGAAACCTTCTAAACTTGATTTGTTTAGTAAAGAATTTAATAAGAAATCGACCATCTCAGAACACTTTTGTTTTGTGGTTTGGGCAGGCCCAAAAGTATCCACCAAGCTTCAAGATGAGAGTAGGAGGTGGAGATGGGAGCCCTAAGCAAGGCAGCAGCATGAAGAGAAAGGTACCAGAAGAAAGCATGAGCCCATTTGAGACAAAGCACCTTTTCAGCACACCGTTCAGAGAAAGCATGGCAAGCAGCATGAGTCGATTCAACATCAGCAGCATCAGCTAGCACCAAAAAACAGTTTACATTGTAATGAGCTCAAGAAGCAGTGGAGAAAATGAGATAGCAGCAGCCATCTGGGGGAGGGACCGGTCTAATTGGGGGGGGTTGTTTTGCATCTTTTTTTATTTGGGTGGTATTTTCTG